ACTTTATTCTCATATTTCTTGGCATCTGCATCTTTCAACAATGACTGTAACGTTCTCATCTGACGTTTTAGACCATCAACCTGCTCATGCACTCCCTGCAACCGCTCAGATTCTCGACTCAGGAGATCCCATAGTTTCCCCACTCCAAACGACACAACTCCCTCAGCCATCGCTATTCTCCTGTTCCACCGTCAACACATAAGCCAACAAAATAGTACAAACTTGAAACATTTTATACGAACTTTTTCTAACGTACTTTTAATCAAACAATCTAATAATAAGATTTGAGTAAATGCCTCAAATTTGTGAACAAGATTTCTAATAATCCAAATAATTTTTCCTTTTTAATCTGATTCGACCACAACAGAGGGCAAAAGATAGATCAAAGCAAGTTAAGCAGAAAAAAAAGTATGATATAGAAAAAACATGATGTATCTTTTATGAAACAGCTCTACAACTCACTTACCGACGTTCCGACGGTCTTTGGAAGAAGAGAGATGAGTGGTAATGAAAGAGTAGACTCCAAGTCAACTTATCGCAAAGTCTTTTTTTTTTTTTTTTTTTTTTTTTGTCGACAATATTTTCATTGAAACTAGCCCAATGGGCTGTTTTACAAAGTTTGACATTATTACATAACGAGTTCCAATAATATAAACCCTAGAGAAGCCCTATATTTATCTATCCAAAAAGAGATCGGTTTGTAATTGCTGTCCTTCCACGTGCCGCCTGATGAATAACACATGTTGATGACACGTGTCCTTCATGCGAGACAGCAGTCTTAGCCGCCTCGATTCTTCGCCGCCGGGAGTCTACTGTACCAAATCTCCATCTTTTGCTTCTCTCCATCAGAGAATTCGTGATAAGCTCGTTGTAAAATGCCAAAACCTTCATACTCCACTTCTGCTCCAACCTTTGCTTGCTGATGAATTTTCGATCTACCGCCGATTATAATTCTGAGATACATCGCTTTGACCAAACATGAGATCTTTTGCTGGACCGTTCTCATAAAAGAAACGCCGGCTCTTCTAAACCTCTGTTAAGTCAACCGATATCAATCCAACTCCACCGCATCCTTCTCGCAAAGATACTTTACCAGAAGCCTATTGGCTTTACACTAAAGTAAAGATTGATACTTTTTGAAAAAGGAATAAGTGCATATCATTGATAAGAGAGAGAAATCCATCCCAAACAAATGGAATCTAGCGATCTTTTGCAGAAGAGGAGACTTTGATCGGAGTAAGTTATTTATTCAACCCAAATTCGAAGAGATAAGATTAGAAGGAACAAATAGCTTCAATTTTGAGTTGGAAAGCACACCAAAATCCCCAAGGGAAAAAGAGATCCGCAAACGGAAAGCAAATTCGATCTATAGATCGAAAACTTTATTTACATAGACAAAAAAACAAAAGAGAGGGATGGTAACCGGCGGCGTGAGCCACCGGCCACCAAAAGCAAATTTCCATTTGTTGAGTCTAGTGAGAGGTTGGAGAAAAGGTTTAGAGAGAGAGTAGTTTAACTTATCGCAAAGTCTATTATATGATATGTTATGAGTTTATGACTAATCAACGACTGGCACCTGTGATTCTAATTTTGAACAAAAAGATAATATATAAGAGTCTTTTAGTCTTTCACGATAATGGTTTTTCGGTAAGGCAAATAATGCATTTTTTCGACCACTCGATATTCGACAAAAAAGGCTACATTACCAAAAGAGAAATTAGAAGTTTTACTAAAAAACTTTAGCATAATTTACAATATACCAAAAGATAAAAAGATTGCAAAACCGGAGCTTCTAACTCTAGTGATAAAGGGCTTACAATTGTGAGTATCGCCACTGGGTTTGAATCTCAGGTATTGGGGAATTAACATTTCGGCATCGCCAGAGACAGAGGACCGACACGTGGCAACACGTGGCCAGTTTGGACCACTTCTGTGGGGTCAAGATACCTCTGAATAATTCAAAAAAAAAAATTTGCAATTATTCATGATGTCTTTTTACCCTATTACCCTTTAACTAATAACCTCTCTTTTGACCATAAAATGAAAATATAAACCAAATTTTAAAATATGCAAAATATAATACACCATGACCAAATCTGTTCATGGTGTTTTTTGTCGAAAATTACGTATTAGTGCAAATAACACCAAAAATTTTGAATTTCGAATATCCATCCTTTCACACATTTCACAATCAAATAAAAAATTCACCCACTCAAGAACCGTATGGAGGAAGATGACGGAATGCACATGCCGCCATGTCCATTGCCTGAAAGGATTATCGCCCCGGCGACAAACCTACCGGCGTTAGAGTGACTCCATATCACAAGAGGAATAGAATCAGACAAATCCTGAATGCGATCCATCCCAATAAAGTTGAACATATTAGGGTTTCATTATTCGGAAAACTGATTGAGATCATCGACAAACTGAGTTTTTCAAAGACGTTTGGGAGATATATCATATCCAGATGTCTTAGTAACTGGTTTATGAATCTAATAAATGTGCAACACATGTTTGTTGCTGGCTAAACTATTTTCCACTTACAGGACCATATTTTTGTGTTCACATAGATGTTCGAAAAACTATTTTTAATTTAAATTAAAAAATTTACCTAGTTTGACAACATATTAAACATGAAATATAGTCAAGTTAGCCTGAAACATAATTTCTTAACATATTATTTTTATAATGTTTACATTCACAAAATTTTAGTATATGATTAATAAATCTAATAGATGTGTAACACATGTTTTTTAACCGGATATATCAACAAAGTCTTGGTTAATAAATTTAGTAGATGTACAACACATGTTTGTTAGCCGTTAAACTATTTTTTCACTTACAAAGCCATATTTTTGTGTTCACATAGGTGTTCGAAAAACTATTTTTTAATCTGAATAAAAACATTTACCTAGTTTGACAACATATTAGACATGAAATATAGTCAAGTTAGCCGGAAACATAATTTCTTTAACTTATTATTTTTATAATGTTTACATCCACAGAATTTTAGTATCTGGTTAATAAATGTAATAGATGTGTAGTACATGTTTGTTAGCTGGATAAACTAGATGTGTAACCCAAGGTAATCTCAAGGATGTAAAAAGATGAAAGACAATGAAGTTTAAGAATTAGAATGCTTCATGAATTCATGGAGAAATAACTAGATTAACTCATGATCTTCTTCAGATTTCATGATCTTCATTTTTGTTTAGATTTAGTAGGAAAGAAAAAGAACAGAGAAAAAGATTGAAAGAAAAGAAAGAGATAAGTTTAGAAAATCTAACCCAATTTTTTATGATCTTTTCAAATCTAAACGAAATGTGTATAATATCTTACCAAATCTACCAACAATCCTGTCAGAGAAAAGTAATAGTAGACTAAATCCGAAAAGGCAAATTGTAAGCCGGGTAGGGTATTGTGGTTTTTCTTATATCTCCTTCTTTGTCACGTACATCCACCTTCTTAGTCTTTTGATATCTCCAAATTTTCAACTCTTCTTATGATTTCTAGCTAAATTGTTCTTACCAAAATCTCTCGTGATATCTTTAAATTGTTTTATTTTTTATTCTAAAATATAATTGAAAACTCGTTTTATTGTTTTTTAAAATTTCTTTGTTTTAATATAATTGGCATATTTAAGTCATTTTTTCATTCTATAAATAGTATTTTTTTGGTTACTCTAATTTTTTACTTTAAAATAAAATACCATTAAATTAAAACTCAACTTCACTATAGAACTACTATTTTGAAGAAAAAAATAAAATGATTCACTAGACATGGTCTTAAAAATGTTAAGTCTCTTTACTCTAATCTCTCAAAATATATTTATTAATATTTAATATTATATTCTTAATTTTTTCTCTCAAAATATATTTTTCATTACTGAAGAATTTGGGGAAAAAGACAAAGAATCACTTATAGTATCAACATATCTTTCATCTTTTACCATATATATATATATATATATATATATATATATATATATAAAGTCCATGGGATTCAAATTTTAATTTCGCAAAATTGCTAAGTTAGAAATAAATAAAATAACTTTTTCGACTAATAAATAAATAAATAACTTATTTTATGATTTCCACAATATACATTTTATTTATATTATTTTGTGTTATTTGATTTTTTTTTTCTCTTCTGCTCAATCTGTAGAACCAAGTTTACATTGTAGTCTCTGAGTATTTATAACTCATAAGTTTGCATTGTAGGATTTTCTGTTGTAAACTTAAAAGGAAAATAATTCAGTTGATTGAATTTATTACTGACTTAAAGCTTGAACCTATTAATCAAACTATTAATGTAAAAAAAATAGTTAAAATACTTTATTGCTATTTTTGTTGTATTATTTTTAAATAATATATTAGTTACTTTTTGAAAAGCTAAAAAAATACAGCAAACCTAAAAATTAAAATCTGAAAAGTAAAAAATACAATTGGAAGGTTACTGTTGCACTATCTTGTTACAAGCCACACGATCATTTCCTTCCTTAAACGAAGAACTCGCGAGTCATCACCACCACCACCACCATGAACCCAACACAAACCCTCTACTCCCCCGGCGGTAACCCCCCGTCATCATCTCATCCAACGCACCCGTCTTCCCTCTTCCCTCAAATCAACAGATGCCGAACCACTCGAGACCTCTCCCAAATCCACGCCACACTCATCAAATCCGGCCAAATGCGCGACACGCTCGCCGCCGCGGAGCTCCTCCGCTTCTGCGCCACCTCCGACCTCCTCCACCGCGACCTCGCCTACGCGCACAAGATCTTCACCCACATGCCTCGCCGCAACTGCTTCTCCTGGAACACCATCATCCGAGGCTTCAGCGAGAGCGAAGACAACGCGATCGTCGCGATCACACTCTTCCGCGAGATGATGATGAACGACGAGGACTCCGTCGAACCGAATGTGGAGTTGTGGAGAAAGCTGTTGAGGTTTTCGAGAGGTTACCGAGGAGGAATGTGATTACTTGGAGTGCGATGATAAATGGGTTTAGCAGGTGAAATGAGGAATGTTGGAGTTAAGGCTAGCGATGTTGGGTACATTAATCTCTTGACGGCTTGCAGTCATGCTGGTTTGGTAGAAGAAGGGAGAAAGTATTTTAGTCAGATGGTGAATGTAGATGGTTTAGAGACTAGGATTGAACACTACGGATGTATGGTTGATCTGTTGGGACGCTCTGGTCTTCTCGACGTCAGTTTTAAATGCTTGTATATAGGTTTTAGAAATCATGTTGAGTTTTTGACACAAAGTAGTAATAGTTTTATTACCTTTTTTTTTTTTGTCACTGAAAATTTCATTAGAAAACTAAGAAAAAGAAGTGAACCCAAAACGATGGCTCAAATCATGATGTCTGATACAAAGAGAAAAAAGCTTGAAGAGCCTTTTTACTAAAACATCGGCAATTAAATTGTCCGATCTACAAACACTGTTGCAAAACCAGAGGAGATCGATCGGATGCCTTTCACAATTCCGATGATTTCTTTTGACTGGAGGTTGCCGGAGATAGCTCTGATGAGCGTTAAACTGTCGGAGAGAACCTTGAGTGTGGAGAACTTCAAGGTTAGCGCCATGCGAAATGCCGATCGAATCACGATGGCCTCTGCAATAAAGGATAAGCTGATGAAGCTTTCTAAAAACCGAAGTCCTAATTGACTTAATTTGATACTGAAGAACAAGAACAGTAGTTCAGGAGCTGAATGTGAGAAGCTCTTAAATTGGGCTATGTGAACCCGTAAACACAGATGTGAAAGGCTCTCAAAAACCCAAATTTGGACCAGGTCCACTAAAATCAGCTCATTGACCTCTTTGGTGACACGCTTAGGTTTGACGACTTTGACGACGGAGTGCGGAAGATGACGATGTGACGGAAACAACTTAATCCTTCTAAAAGTGCTGAGAATGATGAGGTATGGTGACGGAGCAAATGTTCTAATCAGATCAATCCTTCGGACCTCGACATTACCGTGACAAGACGAACGAATTGTAATCAAACTAAACCTGAGCAACCAGTCATGGACCTCATTCAAAAAGAAGATGTGAGAACGAGCTTTGATAGAGAGGTGAGGAGTATTTCTCAAGAGGTGTGGATATGGGCTGAACACTTCATCTTGATTCATAGTTTTATTACCTTAATGTCATTCGCTGAACGAGAAAAAGGTTATTTTAGAACAAAAAGTATAAATTGGGAACTTGGAAGACAAGATTAAGATATAGGGAAAAAGGAGATATTTGGTGTCAAAGCTGTTGACTTCTCAATCTCTTGACCTTCGTTTAACCAAATTATAAAATCATGTTCAGGGATCACCATTCACCATCAAAGCATTATCATATCTCCAAGTCCGACTAAACAAACCAACTAAGCACTCACAAGGAATACATCGAAGAAAATATGGTTCCACATACATAATGTATTTCAAACTTAGATAAAACGGAATATAAAGTCAAACTTATGTCATCCCATCACACAATCAAATAGTGGGTACTGATTCTGAGTAGATTCCCCTGTAAACCAAGTAATAAAAAGGTTTGAGACTTTCACACTACACTTCAAGAAGGATACATAACCAACAATATGGACATTATAACAAAAATATATACCTGAGACGTTTTATTCTCCTTATTCGTCGTCATAATATATAGTTTACGTGATGACACTAGGAATGTGTTGGACTTTGTAGTAACTTTCCCCACCTGGTACCAGTTTCGCCTTCCACTCCTTGTTGATTTGGGAGATTTTCAGTTCCTTTAAAGAAGTTATAAACTTCAGCCCTTCCGGTATCTCCTTCAACTTCTCACAAAACTCTAAACACAAAGTACGAAGACATGGCATCGACCGTTCTTCGATTACCCACTCTTCCAACTCTATTAGACCTATTAAACTTAGCTGACGTAACTGAGGGAATCCACCTTTTGAACACACCATTTTCCTCCCCACAAAAGCACGTACGTTTAATTCAACCGACTGTAAATGAAGCAACTTTTCCAGAATCGGTAGTGGGTCTTCCTCCATGTTGCATTCACTCAGAGATATGCTTGCAAGGTTGGGAGGGAATCGAGAGTGCTCAGGAAGCCTTGGCATAACCATCGTCATATCTAAATCCCTTAGATGAATGAAATTCCAAACGAAATCCACATCATAAGCCACGTCGCGTTGGAACCCAGAGTTCAACGTAAGCCTCTCCAGGTTTCTTAATTCACTAAGAGATGACGCTAGAATTCCATAAGTATACTCGTGTTCGAGAATTAAGTCGAGAGTCCTGAGCCTAGTCATACCACAGATGTCTGTGATGCTACAATTATCCGAACTGAACCCCTTAAAAAACTCCAGGTTCACTAGATTACCCAATTCCAACTTTGGTTTATCATTCATTAAAGAGGGTAGCGACAGGTACCTCAACTCTACCATCTCTTCAAAGATATTTGGCACGTGAACTCTCTTCCCGGACCGGGAGTATAAGTCCAAATAGAGTAGAAGCTTTAGATTCTGTAGAGAAGAAGGTAGATGAGATACCCAAGTCAAGTCTAACCTCAAAAATCTCAAAAGAATGAGCTTGCCAATGCTGGAAGGTAATCTCCCTCCGTCAAAGCCAACTCTAGAATATTGTAAACTCAGATCTAATACCCTAAGTAATTGTAAATTTCCGAATCCTTGAGCTGACTGTTTCCACAAGTTGCTGTCGAGTCCAAAACCCAAAACAGATCTAGCTTTTCTATTGCTTTTACCTCCCAGCATATTAAGTGCATTACCGCCATGCACTGCGAGTCTACGAGATCTACGAGTATGAGCATTGACAGTAGAAGTGGAAGTAGTAGGGGTTTTGATGACTTGAAGAAAATTCTCTTCTTTGGCTTCAAATAAGAATACTTCTCTCATCATGTCATGCATTTGACAAGAACCCCATCTCCAACTCAAACTATCTTTTTCAGCAATAACCATATTTCTCCTTATTAACTCTTCCAAGTATTCTTCTCCACTCTCTTGAATGGTTGGTCCATGAGACGTTATTATTCCTTCTGCTGCCCATAAATAATACAATCTCTCCACTTGTATCGTGTAATCTTCAGGGAAATAAGCTAGGCAAAGGAAGCAATGCTTTAAATGCATTGGCAAATCTTCATAGCTCAGAGACAATACTCCTACAACCGAATCTTGATTGTTGTTATTTGAGCGAATGATCCGAGTTTGAATATTGTCATATACTATTTTCCACTCTTCAACCGTAGATTTCTCAACTAACAAGCCTCCCAGCACTTTAACAGCTAGCGGTAGTCCTCCACAATATTTAACCATTTCCGTACCCATAGCTTCTAGTTCTTTATTAACACTAAATTCTGCAAAACAATAGCATGCATATATTTATAAGATATTAGCCATGAATAATACTCCCACCGTTCCTTAAATACACATATTCTAAAAAATAATTGTTTCTAAAAGATCCATTTTTGACATTTTCATGTTTTATTAACTAACTAGGTGTTTTGCCCGCATTTGCGGACATAATTTTCTTATGAATATTTTTTACTTGATGTTTCATTAATATAAAAATCATGATAGTAAATTATTATTTATGTTTTCAAAAAGTAAAAATCAAACATCAAATAATTATCAATGACAAAACTCAAACATAAGAAATATTTAAAAGAATATATTTCTATAACTATTTTTCTTGATTTATATTTAATTATAATATATATAACTTTATTTTAAATTTTATATTAGGAAAACATATTTTCAAGATAACAATATAATGCATAAGTTATTTATTTTCTGAAAATATAATATGATATTTTTAACTATATAATAATTATATAAGATTATAGAGAATTTATGACATATAATTAAAATTACCTAAAAGCATTGAGAACTTAATGAATCAGAAAATTCACTTCTTAAATAGTTTTTCTTGAGTGATGATTTATATTTAATTAATAATAGACAATTTTTCTATTTTACTTTTAAATTGTATAATATAAAAATATATTTTCAGGATAACAACATAATACATAAGAATTACCATATTCTCTAAAAGTATAATATTATAAGTGTTAATTTATTTCAATTATAGAATAACTACAACTTTTTATATCTTAATTTTAATTTTTTAATAGAAAAATATATTTTCAAGACAGCAACTTAATAAATAAGAAGTATTTTATTTTTTAAGAATCTGATACTATTAATATAATTTTTTTAAAAAAGTATATATAATAAATTATACATAAAATTATATAAATTGATAAATTATCAAAATTACCTAAAATCATGGAAAATATGACAAATCAGCAAACATCAAATTCCATTCTTAAATAATATTATAGATTTTTACATGTTAATTTTAAATTTTATAATAGAAATTTTTTTTTCAAGATAAAAGCATAATACATAAGAATTACTTATTTTCTAAAATATCATATTATTAATATAAATTAGTTTTTAATATATAATCAATAATAAACAAAATTAGAAATTCTCATAAATGATCAAAATTACCTAGGATCATGGAGAAAAATCAACAAATTCACTTTTCAAATAATTTTTTTGATGATTTATATTTAATTAAGATTTATATTTAATTATTAATAATATATTTTTATATCTTAATTTTAAGTTTTATAATAGGATAATAAATTTTCAACATAACAGCATAATCCATAACGATTATCTTATTTTAGAAAATATTAAATTATTAATAGAAATACATTTTAATTATATTTAAATATTAAATTATAAATATAATAGTGTTTATATCTTAATTTAAAATTTAAGTTTTATATATATAAATATATTTTAAGATAACAACATAATTCACAAGAATTATCTTATTTACTAAAAATATGATATGAATATATAGATTTTTTTTTATTTTCAAATAAAAAATATATATAAATATTAAAAATATAATAAATAAACAGAATTACTAAACTTATGGAGAACATGACAACTAAGCAAATTTACTTCTTAAATAATAGTATAGATTGTAAACTTCAAAAGATTTAATTGTACTAATTGATTTTTTATTGGTTTAAAATTATGAAAAGAAAATAAATATAAAAAACTATACAAATTTATTATGTTTTATTAAAAAGTGTGAAAAAAATTAAAATATGGATTTTTTAGAAATAGAGGGAATATATGTCTATCCCAGAAGATAAATTAGTGAATTGCTCCACAAGGCTTTTTGATTTATCACATTTTGTGTCTTAACAGATTCATAAGATTCTAATATTTAAACGTACCGGTTTTGTCTCTTCTAGAAAATGCTATCCGCTCACATAGCTCCCAACTTTCCTCGGGAGTAAGGAGTTCTGGTGTAAAAGAAAAACATGTTGGGTCTGCATGTAAACCAACACCTTTATTGCGAGAAGTAAGAATCATTTTCCAACCTGCAAATTATAATTTCCTTTTATGTCAGGGATTAAAAGGCATTTATATAAAATTCCTAAGGGGAACACTTAATGTAGGTAAAAAGTAAAGAGAGCTCGCCTCTTCCTTGCGGGAAGGCGTCTTTCATTCTATCCCAGTCTTCAGTTTTCCATACATCATCGATCACAATTAAATGTCTACTTGTTCCCAGCAATTGAAAGAGCTTGGCCTGGAGTTTATCCTCATCCATCTGATTGATGCTCTCATCATGTGTAAGATCTTGCAAGATCTTTTGCCAAATGTCTTTCCGGTGAAACTCTTTTGAAACACATACCCATGCGAACCCATCAAAATGACGTTGAACAATGTCATGATGAAAAACTTGTCTCGCCAGAGTGGTTTTACCAATACCACCCATCCCTGATATGGAAACCACTTGAATGTTATCATTCTTCACCAAATGATCAACCAATTCTTCAACACTCTTTTCCACCCCCACAAGGCCCTTTTCAGAACTCTTAGGAAATGTTTGTCGGATCTCCCTATGCACCTTTTGTCTCTCTTTTAGAGACAATGAATGGCCATCATTCATGATTTCCCCTTGTATTCCAAAACTCTGCATTTCCGCAACAACCTCAACCATTCTCTTAGTTATGCCTTCAATGTCTACAGAAAGGTTTCGGCGATTCACTAAGAAACAAGAAAGCCTTTTCACACGCCTCTTGATCCCTTTCTCGTTACCACTAGATTCTTTCAAAAGAAATGATTCAATTATATCTTCAGCGTCATAAACAATGTCTTTGGCATCTTCCAAGAAGCTTCTCACTACTTCCTTCTCATGTTTCTTGGCATCTGCATCTTTCAACAATGACTGTAACGTTCTCATCTGACGTTTTAGACCATCAACCTGCTCATGCACTCCCTGCAACCGCTCAGATTCTCGACTCAGGAGATTCCAGAGTTTCTCCACTCCAAACGACACAACTCCCTCAGCCATCGCTATTCTCCTGTTCCACCGTCAACACATAAGCCAACAAAATAGTACAAACTTGAAACATTATATACGAACTTTTTCTAACGTAATTTTAATCAAAACAAACTAATAATAAGATTTGAGTTAATGCCTCAAATTTAAAAAAAAAAAAAATAATGCCTCAAATTTGTGAACAAGATTTCTAATAATCCAAATAATTTTTGTTTTTTAATCTGATATATTCGACCACAACAGAGGGCAAAAGATAGATCAAAGCAAGTTAAGCAGAGAAAAAGTATGATATAGAAAAACATGACGTATCTTTTATGAAACAGCTCTGCAACTCACTTACCGACGTTCCGACGGTCTTTGGAAGAAGAGATATGAGTGGTAATGAAAGAGTAGACTCCAAGTCAACTTATGGCAAAGTCTATTATATGATATGTTATGAGTTTATGACTAATCAACCACTGGCACCTATGATTCTAATTTTGAACAAAAAAGCAAAATATACGAGTCTTTTAGTCTTTCACGATAATGGTTTTTTGGTATAGCAAACAATGCATTTCTTTGGACCACTCCATACTCGACGAAACTGAGGCGACATTGCCAAAATCTCTCGTGATATCTTCAAATTGCTTTATTTTTTATTCTAAAATATAATTGAAAACTCATTTTATTGTCTTCAATTTTCTTTTAATTATACAGAGGTATCCTATGTATCCTTGATCCCACGTGTCGGTCTCCAATTCGTGGCGATGCCAAAATATTAATTCCCCAATGATCGGGACTCGAATCCTCGTGACTTCACCGTATTGAGCTTTTGCTCTCAATTTTTTTTGTTTATTACTCTAATTTTTACTTAATTCACATAATAGTGCTATATGAATTAAATATGACAAAATTATATTAAATAGGTAAATTAAAAAATTCCATGTTTTAAAATTATCTCATTTAAATAAATTATCACTCATCATTCAAAACGGGTTAAAATTCGTAAATTATATAATATTTTTATACAGAAATAAATGTATTAACATAGGTTAAACTTTTATATCTAAAACTATATATTATATTTTTATTTATTTTGAAACTCTCAACAATATGTTGTTTAAAATATGTATATAAAAATTATAATAGTATATAATAAATTTTATTTCATATACTATTTTTAAAAAGTGTGTTATTAGAAAACTATGAAACTTTAGTAATTCATTTAAAATATTAATGAAAAATAAATTTTTAACTGTAAATTTATGTTTTTTAATTTAATTTTTTTTGTAAAATATTACCAAAAAATCAAATTTTAATAAATAATATTTTAATATAGTAACAACAAAAAAAATCAAAATTCATGTAATGTTCCAAGCTCAAAAATACTTTTATAATTTTCTAAAGTTTTTTTGACAAAATATAAAGTTTTTGAAAATAAATATTCAAACTCACAAGGAATATAATTTAAATTTTACAAAATATAAAATTATAGATAATAAAGAATAAATTTTTGAAATGCACCACGAAAAATTAACTATATATGTTGTATAAATTAAAGCCAAATTAGAGTATATTTTTAGTGCATTTTCGAAAAATAATACTTAACTTATGGTATTTTAGATAATTTTTTAAAATATCCGCACGGACTTGCGGATTAAAATCTAATTTTTACTTTAAAATAAAATAACATTAAGCTAAAAAATACAGCAAAACCAAAAACTAAAAATTTTAAATCTGAAAACAAAAAACTAAAAGCTGAAAATCAGAAACAAAAACTTCGAAATCAGAAATTAAAATCTAAAAATCTAAAACCAAAAACTAGTTTAAACAATCAACACTTATATTGTATGATTGAGAGTGTAGGAGAAGAATAAAAAGAAAATACAATTGGACAGTTAAAACCGTTGCAGTATTATCTTGTTACAAGCCACACGATATCCTTAGACGAAGAACTCGCGAGTCACCACACCAACACCACCATGAACCCAACACAAACACTCTCCTCCCCGTCCTCTCATCCAACGCACCCATCCTCCCTCTTCCCTCAAATCAACAGATGCCGAACCACTCGCGACCTCTCCCAAATCCACGCCACACTCATCAAATCCGGCCAAATACAAGACACACTCGCCGCCGCCGAGCTCCTCCGCTTCTGCGCCACCTCCGACCTCCTCCACCGCGACCTCGACTACGCGCACAAGATCTTCACCCACATGCCTCGCCGCAACTGCTTCTCCTGGAACACCATCATCCGAGGCTTCAGCGAGAGCGAAGACAACGCGATCGTCGCCATCACACTCTTCCACGAGATGATGATGAACGACGAGGAGGACTCCGAACCGAACCGGTTTACCTTCCCTTCTCTCTTCAAGGCGTGCGCGAAAACCGGGAGGATCGGGGAAGGTAAGCAGATCCACGCGTTGGCGGTTAAGTTAGGGTTTAGCGGTGACGAGTTTGTTATGAGTAATCTTGTTAGGATGTATGTGATGTGTGGTTTGATGAGTGACGCGTGTGTGTTGTTTTATAAGAACATTATAGGGAGAGATATGGTTTTTGTTGGTGGTGGGATGAGGAAGAGAGATGGTGAGGTTGTTATATGGAATGTTATGATTGACGGTTACATGAGGCTTGGCGATTGTAAAGCTGCGCGGATGTTGTTCGATCAAATGCGTGTGAGAAGCGTTGTTACTTGGAACACTATGATCTCTGGTTATTGCAAGAACGGGTGTTTCAAGGAGGCTGTGGAGGTTTTTAATGAGATGAAGAGAGTTGATTTGCGTCTTAGTTATGTTACTTTGGTTAGTGTTTTGCCCGCGGTTTCGCGGATTGGGTCGTTGGAGTTGGGAGAGTGGTTGTATTCTTATGCAGAGAGTAATAGAGTGGAGGTTGATGATGTCCTTGGTTCTGCTTTGATTGATATGTATTCTAAATGTGGAGTTGTGGAGAGAGCTGTTGAGGTTTTCGAGAGGTTGCCGAGGAGGAATGTGATTACTTGGAGTGCGATGATAAACGGGTTTGCTATACACGGTTTAGCAAGTGAGGCTATTGAGTGTTTCAGTAGAATGAGGAAGGTTGGAGTTAAGGCTAGTGATGTTGCGTACATTAATCTCTTGACTGCTTGTAGCCATGCTGGGATGATAGAAGAAGGGAGAAAGTATTTTAGTCAGATGGTGAATGTAGATGGTTTAGAGCCTAGGATTGAACACTATGGGTGTATGGTTGATCTGTTAGGACGATCTGGTCTTCTCGACGTCAGTTTTAAATGCTTGTATATAGGTTTTAGAAATCATGTTGAGTTTTTGACAACAAGTAGTAATAGTTTTATTACCTTAATGTCATTCGCTGAATGAGAAAAGGTTATTTTAGAATAAAAAGTATACAAAAATGGGAACTTGAAATACAAGATTAAGATATAGGGAAAAAAGAGAAAAAGCATGTGGTTTTGCATAGTTTGTGTCAATAGAGTCAGGATAGTGAGATGGTTTGTTTTCGAGACGTGAGCCGAGCGTTTAAGATTCTTCCCTCGTTTCAAGTAAAACTCCGTGTATTACTACACTAATGTCCACCAATTTAGCCAAAACAAAAACAATTTTTAATGATGGAGTTTTATACTATCAAGGTAATTGTATTATATTTTATGTTAACCAGATGTTTGGTGTCAAAGCTGTTGACTTCTCAATCTCTTGACCTTCGTTAAACCAAATGATAAAATCATGTTCAATGATCACCATTAAAGCATTATCATATCTCCAAGTCCGACTAAACAAATCAACGAAGCACTCACAAGGAATACATCGAAGAAAATATGGTTCCACATACATAATGTATTTCAAACTTAGATAAAACGGAATATAAAGTCAAACTTATGTCATCCCATCACACAATCAAATAGTGGGTACTGATTCTGAGTAGATTCCCCTGTAATAAAAAGGTTTGAGACTTTCACACTACACTTCAAGGAGGATACATAACTAACAATATGGACATTTATACCAAAAATATATACCTGAAACGTTTGATTCTCCTTATTCCTTGCCAAAATATTTTACTCGAACAGTAGGAATGTGTTGGACTTTGTAGTAACTTTCCCCACCTGGTACCAATTTCGTTTCCCACTCCTTGTTCTTATGTGAGATTTTCAGTTCCTTTAATGAAGTTATATACTTCAGCCCTTCCGGTATCTCCTTCAACTTCTCACAAAACCCTATATACAAAGTACGAAGACATGGCATCGACCGTTCTTCGATTACCCACTCTTCCAACTCTTCTAGAGCTATTAAACATAGCTTACGTAACTGAGGGAATCCACCTTTTGAACACACCATTTTCCTCCCCACGAAAGCACTTTGGTGTAATTCAACCGACTGTAAATGAAGCAACTTTTCCAGAATCGGTAGTGGGTCGTCCTCCATGTTGCATTTACGCAGAGATATTCTTGCGAGATTGGGAGGGAATCGAGAGTGCTCAGGAAGCCTTGGCATAACCATCGTCATCTCTAAATCCCTTAGATGAATGAAATTCCAAACAAAATCCAAATCATAAGCCACTTCGCATTGGTACCCGGAGATCAACTTAAGCCTCTCCAGGTTTCTTAATTCACGGAGAGATGACGCTAGAATTCCATAAGTATACTTGCGTTCGAGAATTAACTGGAGAGTCCTGAGCCTAGTCATACCACAGAGGTCTGTGATGCTACAATTATCCGAACGGAACCACTCCAAAAACTCCAGGTTCACTAGATTACCCAATTCCAACTTTGGTTTATCATACATTAAAGAGGGTAGCGACAAGTACCTCAACTTTACCATATCTTCAAAGATATTTGGCACGTGAACTCTCTTCAGGTACCGGGAGTATAAGTCCAAATAGAGTAGAAACTTTAGATTCTGTAGAGAAGAAGGTAGATGAGATATCCAAGTCAAGTCTAACCTCAAAAATCTCAAAAGAATGAGCTTGCCAATGCTGGAAGGTAATCTCTCTCTTTTAAAGCCAGCTTCAGGATATTGTAAACTCAGATCTAATACCCTAAGTAACTGTAAATTTTGGAATCCTTGAGCTGACTGTTTCCACAAGTTGCTGTCCAGTCCAAAACCCAAAACAGATCTAGCTTTTTTATTGCTTTTACCTCCCAACATATTAAGTGCATTACCGCCATGCACTGCGAGTCTACGAGATCTACGAGTATGAGCATTGACAGTAGAAGTGGAAGTAGTAGGGGCTTTGATGACTTGAAGAAAATTCTCTTCTTTGGCTTCAAATAAGCATACTTCTCTCATCATGTCATGCATTTGACAAGAACCCCATCTCCAACTCAAACTATCCTTTTCAGCAATAACCATATTTCTCCTTATTAACTCTTCCAAGTATTCTTCTCCACTCTCTTGAATGGTTGGTCCATCAGACGTTATTATTCCTTCTGCTGCCCATAAATAATACAATCTCTCCACTTGTATCGTGTAATCTTCAGGGAAATAAGCTAGGCAAAGGAAGCAATGCTTTAAATGCATTGGCAAATCCTCATAGCTCAGAGACAATACTCCTATAACCGAATCTTGATTGTTGTTATTTGAGCGAATGATCCGAGTTTGAATATTGTCGTATACTATTTTCCACTCTTCAACCGTAGTTTTCTCAACTAACAAGCCTCCCAGCACTTTAACAGCTAGCGGTAGTCCTCCACAATATTTAACCATTTCCGTACCCATAGCTTCTAGTTCTTTATCAACACTAAGTTCTGCAAAACAATAGCATATATCTATTACTATTAATAATAGCAATCTCAATTAATGTTTAAAGGTTGTGTTTTTTTCTTTCAATTAAGTAACTACTGAAAACAAATAATGATGAAATGTTGTGTCTTCCCAACCATGTAATTATTAAAAATGTTTGGACAAAATGTTTAAATATGTATTTATATTACAGATATATATATATGAAATCTCAGTTAATGTGAAAATTTGTGGCTTTTCAATATGTAACTATATTTCAAATGGTTGTGAAAAAAATTTAGGTGTGTGTTTTTGATACTGTGAATGTTTGTAATTAGGATATTTTTATAATGATGTATCTTTTTTAAAAAAATATTGTAGAGACACCCTTTTACAATAACTACCATAGTCTGAAAGTTGTGACTATATGTAGCTTTGAAAAACTATAAATAGTCTATGTTCTTTTTTTTTGACACTAAATAGTCCATGTTCATGAGTTTTTTCTTGTAAATGTTTCACAATTTATTAAAGTGTGTTTTTGATCATATGAATGTTTCCTAATTAGCTATTTTTTTGTAGTGATGTGTTTCTTCAAAAACTATTGTAGAGATACCATTTTAAATAGTTACATATAATTTGAAAAGTTATGACTATTCATATATAGCTTTAAGAAACGATAAATAATCCATATTCATGGTTTTCTTACTGTAAATCCTTCACAATTTATTAAAATATGTTTTTGATCATGAATGCTTTTTAATTAAAGTATTTTTTTGTAATGATGTATCTCTTCAAAAAATATTGTAGAGATACATTTTAAAATAACTACATATAATTTGAAAGTTATGACTATTCATGTATAGCTTTAAAAAATTATATATTGTCCATGTTCATGAGTTTTTTATTGTAAATCTTTCACAATTTATTAAAATGTGTTTTTGATCATATGATTTTTTCTTAGTTAGGGTACTTTTTGTAATAATGTCTCTTCAAAAAATATTGTAGAGATACCATTTTAAATTTACTATATATAATCTTAAAAGTTGTACTATTCATATATATATATATTTGAATAAACTATAAATAGTCTATGTTCGTGATTTTCTTATTGTAAATCTTTCACAATTTATTAAAATAGATTTTTAATCATATGAATGTTTGTTAAATTAAAGTATTTTTGTAATGATGTGTCTCTTAAAAAATATTGTAGAGATATCATTTTAAAATAAGGTTTTAACTACTTATAATCTGAAAAAATTGTGAATATTCATATATAGCTTTGAAAAAGTATATAGTCCATGTTCATGATTTTCTTATTGTACATCTTTCAAAATTTATTAAAATTTGTTTTTGATCAGATAATAATTTTTTTAATAGAGTAATTTTTGTAATGATGTATTTCTTCAAAAAATATTGTAGAGATACCATCTTAAAATAACTATCTATAATCTGAAAAGTTGTGACTATTCATATATAGTTTTGAAAAACTATAAATCGTCCATGTTCGTGAGTTTCTTATCGTAAATCTTTCACAATTTATTAAATTGTGTTTGTCATCATATGAATGTTTTTAATTAGGTATTTTTATATGGTTGTGTTTCTTCAAAAATGTAGAAATACCATTTTAAAATAACTACCTACAATGTGAATTTTTTTGACTATTCATATATAACTTTTAAAAACTATAAATAATCTATGTTCATGAGTTTCTTATTGTAAATCTTTCCAAATCTATTAAAATGGTGAAGAAGAAAAATTTTGTGCAGTTACCTGGTTATAAATATTTAGAAGATATTTAAATGAAATGGTGTTAACAAAGAATTGTAGGAAGAGTAATTCGTGTATGGCTAACAAAAAACCCTGAACGAAATAATAAAATTATTAGTCTAAATTTTCTTTTACTAGATGAAAGGTGTGTTTTTCTTTCTTAAAAAATTGCATTTGACGTCTAAATTTTGGTAACATAATATTATTTTTAACGACGTTGAGATTATCACATGATAGTTAAACAAATTTTTGAAAGCGTAAGTGGATTGGCATGCCTGAATGAATACATGCGGTTTAATCTGGAGTTTTGTTTTGTCCACATGTGTGTTGCATATCTATTCTATTAAAATAGAGTCATTCTTTTTATCTACTGATACAAGTTGTCATTTAAATTTGGATCCTTTCTAGAGTGTTACAAATAATACAAGTTATATAGTTGATTGAACCGCATTACTTAAATTAAACCGACGGTTATTTATAGAATAGAGTTTTGGGCTTACTTTTGTTTTTATGACATTTAATTGTTTGATTTTTGAGCTTAGTATTAAAGAAAAACTCCAAAAAACCATTAAATAAACTTTCCACCTTAATAGATCAAAAATCAATTACTATTTTCAGGCCCAAAAATATTTAATATTTTAAAGAAAACAAAATTATCTACTATTAATCACTTATTTAAATCATGTACTTTAAAACATGTAAATATTTTTTAGCCCAAAAATATTTAATATTTTCAACAAAACAAAATTATCTATTATTAATCATTTATTTAAATCATGTACTTTAAAACATGTTAATGCTTTTTTATTTTAAATAACAATCACTCTATATTGATAAATTTTAATGGTAACTTTTAAATAATTTATTTTTTTATT